ATCCCCTGAGCCCAGTCCATGGCTGCTGCTTCACCAGGTCAGTGGCTGGTTTCTTGGGAACTTTAATCATGCTTGAGCCTTGGATCCTCCTCTCTAGCTTTTGAGTAGAGGGCTGTTGGCATGGTTAGTGGTAACCAGGGTTGTGCCCCTACTGAATAGTAAAGCTGGCCTATGGTTAAGTTCCAGGACAGTGTTAGTTGAGGCCTCAGTGCTAGAGAGCTGGCTATCTGGGGGCTGAAGAAGGTCATTTCCCTCTGCTGCTGCTTTCTCCCACTTCCCCAACTTGGTTTTCACCTGCTCTCCAATACCTTAAATTCCTTAATGGTGATAATACAGTTCAATCTACAATCATTACGGAGGCTTAGAGGCAGATGCTTTCAGAAGCAAGGACTCAGTGAACTAAGTCACTGTATAGTCATATAGTCAGGTGTCTGTAGTTATCTGCAAAACGGAAGTGTGTGTGTGTGTGTGTGTGTGTGTGTTTGCCGTCTGCCCAACAGATGGACATGGACTCAACAGCTGGGACTAGAGCGATGGGAAGAAGGTAAGTGAGAGAAGAAACAGGACAACTTTTTCATGTGTTTGCAGTTTTGTTGAGTGCCCCACGTGGCCAGGTCTGAATTTTGTAAGTTTTATGAAAGTCAATAACTGTTCTATGCCAGGTGGGGCAATCTGGCTCTGCGGTGTGCTGAGCTGCCAGAGTAGGACCCAGATCCCTCCAGGCCACTTTTTATCAGCCATTTAATAGCCTGGGGATTTGTTAAAATGCAGATCCTGATATAGTGGGCTCCAAGATTCTGCATTTCTAAGAGGTTCCCGGTTGATGGTGACATTCCACCGACTACATGCAGTTCCTCGAGGGTTGGCTCTTAGGTTTTGGTGTGCCTGTTAAGTCTGATCAGTGGTTAGTGCTTGTAGGGCTGTACCTTGAGTGCCAGGTGGCCAGAATTTTGCTTGAGAAGATGCTTGGATCCTTGAGCCCTCTGTGATGGTTTTTTCCAGACTGTGGATATCACCAACTCTCTGCAGAGGGGTGTCCTATATATTTCTAATAGGCATTCATATGTCTGACCGGGCAGGTTTACTGCTTCTCTTTGGAGTTTTTTCATTTGCCTTTTTCTCCCCTTAGTGATTCGCCAATCCATCATCATCAGCTCTCAGAAATCAGTTCACATATTCACACTAAAGTGTAAATGACTGATAAATGATATTCTTCCCAGGAGAAGTGGGTTCACTGGAATTAAGTTGTGGAATTTAAGGATCAAGGCTCATTTCGGCTGAGCTGGAGTTGGAAATGTCTTGGGAACCTACCTGGTATCAATGAAGTAACAAAGGCAATGGCCAGCCTTGCCCACATGAGACAGCATCTGCTTTGCCAGGTCTCCTCAGTAGTGGACAAGTAGTTATTTCAGCCCTGCTCAGCAGTGGCAATTAGCCATTGTTAGCACTCTACTTACAACTTCAAACTCATGCTTTGGCATTCCCAGCATCCCGTTCTGATCTTGAATGTTAATTCAATGGTGGTTAGGTCTGATAATGTTACCCGCAGTTTCTTTGCCCACACAGTCCTTGTTGATAAACTCTCAATGCAACTTTGATGCACTCAAGAATCCCTGATATTTAAAGGAACAGTGTCTTCTTCCTTCCTCCTTTCCCCTCTCCCTCTCTCCCGCCTCTCCCCCCTCCCCTCTCCCTTCCTCCTCCTGCCACACATCCCCCAATTACCTATCTGCTTGTATGAGTTGGTCTAGTTGGGTTTTCTAAGCATTCACACACCTGCTTTGCTACACATCTTTTTTTCCTCTTCCCATAGACCAAGGTGGTCCCCCCCCCCCGCCCCCCCAGTGAAATGTGAAATTTCCCTCTTTGGTGAAATAATTCTAATTTGAATATTTGGCACACAGTTTGAACATTTATTCAGCTCCTAAGCTTGTATCACTCAAAGCTGAGAGTTGTAGAAGCAATCTAAAAGCCAGGTGAGCTCTTCTAAGGATGGGAGGAAACCAAAGGTGATCTGGTCTTGTGGATGGTCACTTGTCTGCCAGAACCTCTGAAAAACAAGAGGCCAAGTCAAAATTCTGAGTCTGCTGTCTGGCCAGTGCCATTCAAAATGGCTTTTCTTCCACAATGGTGACATCAGAGGGGGTATGTTGTAATGGGAAGGAAGCACTGACTTGGAGTGTGTACTGTGTGACTTGAGCAGACTTTCTCTGAGTCTTGGTCTCCTTATCTGCACCATAGGCCGAGCACTAATCTCCACCTATGTCACGTGGTAGGTGTGGTGGGGGTGATGCCATGTTTGTGCAGGAAGTGCTTTGCATATTATAGTTTGCTTCCAAAGGCAGGTGTTTGCCTCCTCAATCAGGAAAAAGTTGGGTGGTATCTTTATACAAGGCAAGAAGGGATTCAAAACAACCAAAAAAACTTCACTAGCTGCAGAACCTATTCTGAAAGAGCACATTCTGAACATGATTTCACACTAATTTCTTTTGTTTATTAAATAAAGATACAGTAAAGGTGCTTTAAGCCAAATAATTTTATACTCACAATGGTCGTTAGCTCCACTTTATGGTTAAGGAAATTGGAGTTCACTGGGGCCCCACAGCTAGTTTATGTGCTAGTTCTTAGAACATAGTGCACTCTTCAAATACAAAGACTGCTCAACTTGCTCTGAGCCACTCTCCTGCTGATATTTGGGAATAAGGAATTAGATGCTCTTTTTAAGAGGTGGGATGGGGAAAGAAAACTTTTGTGTCACTCATAGTGTATGTAGGCTGACATTTGGGACTTCAAGGAAACTGAATTGACTTGACTTGAGCAAGGACTTACCACTGGCCTCTTCCCAAAGGACGTCCTGAAGAAACTTCTCCAGGACCTGACCAGGCCGGCGGTCCTGAGCCCCTGACAGCTTGATTCCAACATCAAAGGGGGTGTTGAACTAGGAGGAGGGGCAGGGAGAACCCAGGAAATGGCAGGTCATACCCTCTCACTCATGCCCCAAACATACCCCCATCCCCAAAGAGGTCCCTGGCTCTCAGGGTCTCGTCATGGGGAGGGAGGAAGGGCCTGCCAACTCAGCAAACACCACTGAGGGACAGCTCGGCCAGGGTACTCTTCCTTCTTAGGCCCGTTCTTACTGTCCCTGCCACCTCATCTCCAAGAGATTTACCCTGCATTCTTCCTTTACCTTGAAAGAGGTTGCTGATAAAAGCCTTGGGGCCCCTAGATTAAGTACTCCACTCCTTGCAAATTTTGGAAGACAAGGTTGAATCACTAATGGAATCGCCAGTGGTGGGATTTCAGGTCCTGGTGGCTCTGGAGACTTGGGGAGTAGTGGGTTCACCTGGTGTACATAGCACTAGCTTGGGTGATGGTCTCTGCCCACTCTGTTGCCTCCACCTCTTTTCCCCTTCTTCCCAGGCATTCTTCCTCTTATATGCACAGGCCTTTCCTCATTCTGTGGAAAGTCAGGAAGCTGACCTTATTCGAAGAAGATACCCTGAGCTAAGTCCTTTCATCTTTGCCTCCATTTCTTCCTCAGGGAGAGCACCCCTTTCTCCCTACTTTCTCAGCATTCTGTGAGATGATTTATTGTAGCTAAAAGCTTTGGGGAAATGGGAAAGAGCTCTTTTTGCAACTACATCATTATCTTCTCCCTTGAGAGCAGAGATTGTATCTTTAGCTCTGTTCATCCAGCAGCTGCCTCAGTACCCAGCCATGTTGGTCACTGAGATGTCTGAATGAGTCAATGGAGGAATCTTGGTGCTGGAATGGACCCTCAGTCATTGGTCCTTCTGCTTCCTGCCCTCCAGACAAGAGGTATTATCCCCATTTTCAGATAAAGCAGCCGAGACCAAGAGAGGTTAAATGACTTTGTCCAAGACCTGAGATGGGTTGGTGGCCACAGACTAGACTGCAGGATTCTTAAATCCAACAGCCCTGGAACCTCTTCTAGTCCCTGGGCTGCGGCAGCACCCAGTGTGGAGCCCTGCCCTGTGCTAGCCCAGGCTGAGCACCTTCCTGTATTGAGCCCTTGGTTCCTCCCCACCAGGCAGACACCACTATTATTTCTATTTTACAGGTGAGCAAACATGCCCAGAGAAGTTTTGAAACAATAACCGTTGCTCTTTTTTAAAAATTTACCTTCCCCTCCTAGTCGCCACTGTGAGGCTGGAGTGAGTGGGAAATGACCTGATGCATTTTTTAAGAAACTTGGGCCTTCCTGTTCTTTCCCTTCAGTAAAGAATCATTTTTCTTTCACCCTGTGGCTAATGTGGGGTGGTCAAATCACCTGAACAGACTTCTTAGGAACCCAATCCAGGGACCTGTTGGCTGGAACTGGGTGGCAACGGCAACTATGAGGCAACATGGCAACTGCTGGTTGGGAAATCAGCTTCAGCTGATTTGAAAAAGCCCTTTGGCCTCAGTGTCTCATCTGTTCAGTTGGAGGTGAGTGGGAGAGTGGATAGGACTTGGTTTCAAAAGCCTTCCAGCTCTGAACTCGATTTTAGGAGGAAAACATTTTGGGGA